AATGGGTAGATGGAAATTGGGGCCGTCGATAGCTGGGCTTGAGGGCTTCAGCGTGCTGGCTTTGTTTATCAAATTGTTGATCACGCTAATTAACACTGTAAATAACAGAATAGTGTAGTATAAACCACAGGTGGGCTCTGTTGGTGATGAATAATGATTATACCGGTATCCTCGAACACGAGTGACCAGCTATATATATATATATATATATATATATATATATATATATATATATATATATATTCTTTGGCACAACATCTTTCTTTAATTTCCTTTCTATTATTGACCTCTTTCGATTCTGGTTTATGAAACTTCAGAATCAAAAGGTTTTAAAATCTTCTGCTTAACCCCCTACTTTGTCGAGGATTTATTACGACTTTCGTTCTTTGTCTTGCACTGATTTTGAAATCCAGACGTATATATGATTTTCAATTAAATTATTTAAAATTAATATTCCATACACGGACATCACGTGTAATTTGAGATTTTACGTAAAGTTAATAGATTAACTTTATTTTGAAAATTACTACTTGTACTGTACAACATCGTTTCGGATTTCCTTCTTTGATCCATTGCTAAGTGAGTTCGATTGATTATATATATAGTTATTTTCCAAGCATAGCTTAGATGTGGCACAGGTCCGAACGTATGGGGCATGCAGTGAGGATCGAACTCACTACTCAGTTGTAATTATTCTAGCGAGACACGCTTGCTAGCTATTACAATGCCATGAGGTACCCTCTCTCTCTCTCTATATATATATATATATATAAGAAATAGACAACATTAAGTTACCATGATTATAATTTATTTCCTAGAAAATGTATTTTTCCTGGTTCATCAGGTCACATCACTAGTTAAAAAAGAATAAAGGTTAATTTCTCTCTCTCTCTCTCTCTATATATATATATATATATATATATACACACACACATAAACATCCATTTAATAACCAAGATCTAAAATGCAAAAAAAAAAGAAAAATCGATTTTTTTGCCATTTTAGATGATCTACCCTCCCCAATGTGCAAGTTTGGTTGGCTTGTCAAATTGTACTCGTCCGGTGGTATATAAGATAATCACTTTAATACTTTAATTCCTGGCTACCTGAAAAGCAGGTAGGTAGGCAGCTGGAGCTGACTTCGTGCTCTTAGGTGCTGTCGAACTCTGTGTTTTGAAGAGAGAAAAAAAACAAAAAAACAGTCAAGATATGCAAAAAAAATACGGCTAAAAATGATGGAAACCTTATGCCAACACTTAATAATATCAACTATGAACATGGATACAATATCTTGACCATGTTCTGAAAAATGAAAACATTTTATAAAACATACATGCAACAAACTATTTCTTATTTAACAGTTAGCCATTCTCAATCAGGGATTAAATATTCTAAGTGTATAGCCGAAAGCCCTTGGATAAAAAGACCATTCGGACAGTTTTTATATAATTTATCATTCGAAAAGAAGACAATAATTCGATCGCATGAGAAATTGTATAAAAAAAAACTAAATAAAAGCACCTTGTCTGTCGTATCAAATGAAATGTGTATGAAAGAAGGATTTCTGACTAAATACATACACACGTACACACACATATATATATATATATATATATATATATGAATTGAGCACTGTTGGGAGATAAGCTGATTTCTATATACAACAGTCACCTGCGCTAAAACACAGCTCTTCAATAAAATGAATTGGAACCCTCTGACTGACGAGCGTTTGTTTACATTTGTAAAAAAACAATTCGCTAGAATTAGCTGTTTCTCTCTACTGAATGATGATAGCTCTGATTGACTCCAAATCGGTCGGGTTTCGTTCCTGGCTTAAGCATTCGGATGTCTAGTCGCACTGAGGAGTTGTGATAAAGTGAAACAGTAATGTCTGCAAATGATAAATGTGTGTGTGCTTCTGTGTGTGCGAGAGTGATATATGAGTATATTTGTGTTGCGTTTAATTTTCTAACATTCTATTGGAAATTACATCATTATCTCAAATAATTCGATTGCATTTATCTAGTAAAATAACTAAAGACCGCCAGCCTATGATTAGTTTACAGACAAATCTTAATTAGATATCCTGTCATAATTTGGGGGAATAGAAATCATCTTTGTCTTCATTATTAAGATCCTTTCTAATTAAAAACTCGGGACAAATTTCCTAATAGGCAAATTATAAAATTTACCTCAGTAATATCTTTAAGAAATCGTTTTCAATACTCTAGTAATTTGAATAGAAGTAAAGTTTTAAAAAAATCCTCTTATTTCTGCGCGTATACTGTTAATGTTTGAAACCGAGGCTGGATTTCATGAATGATAGTTTTGAATTTCGCCGACCTTAAGCCTTAGTATTCCAGTAGAGTTACAACCCATGAATTTCGAATATTGTTTATTTATATATATATATATATATATATATATATAATCAATCAGCCAAATTCTTGAAGACCTATCTTCTTGCATTATCTAAATTACTCGGACAGTTATCCTCATCTTTATTACCATATTTACAACGTTTCGGCCTTCAGGTGAAAATCTCGATGAAATTTAGATGGCTTTAACCAACGTTTTTATCCACCCGTCAATGTGTCCTCAAGGACACATGGTCCAGTGGATAAAGACATTAGTTAGATCCAGTGACTAGGCCTAAGGAATTGTGAGTTCGATACCAGGAACCAGCAGTGGTGAACCAATACTTGGAGAGTTAAGTTAAAGGGAAATAACTGAGACACCCGGAAGAGGCATGACACAATCTAACACGGTGTATGAAATAAATTGTTTGGATCAAAATTCCAATCACCCAAAGAGGGCTGGAGCGTACAACGGCCGAAACCTTGTGAATATGGCAATGAAGATGAGGATAACAGTTCGAATAATGTAAATAATCATAATACCTCATCTCAGAAATATAGACAACTATCTTCTTATCGTTTTCTTTCCTTGGATTTCTGTTGGATTCAACTTATGTTGGTAAATATCAGTCAATGACACCATCAGACATTGTTCGTTGTTTTATTCGTCTAATTCATATTCTAGAAAAAATAAGGAAAAGAAATATCTTTGTCTATCGAATAAATTTTACAAGATAAAATTATGGAAAGAAACAAACAAAGAGCGATTGTGAAAGAAACACGCCTGCTATCTTCACTTAACTAAATTTTTTGCCTTTAATCAGAGGGAAAGAAAATAAATCTCAGACTGATGTCCTTATCTTTGTTCTTTTTATTTCAACCTATCTACCGCTGTGAACTTCGGCCTTCTTCAGATAAATATCGATTTGGTTAAGCTTTAGGAAATTTTAATCTCCGTTGGTAACTTTGACTTGGAATCCGTACAGCCTAGCCCAGGGACTGAACTCGGAATTACTGTCACCAAATTCACGAACAAGCGTTTTAGTTCCCTATGATATTTTCATATAACGACTGTAAATAATATAACTAATAAATCCTAATCCCGATGAAAAAATAGGATTAAAAACAATTAGCTTACTATCATTCACAAACTCTTTCTGTAGCGTCGTTTAACTGAAAGGCGACTAGATGATCATCAAAAATTATCTCGTATGTAATTTGGGATCTAGATTAGTATTTTTTTTTTAAGTAGTGACATGACTTTTAAAAGTTTTCTTTTTTGTCTAAAAGATGTTTTCGAAAAATATAATGTAAAACGTGAACCTTATTTAATGGTTTAATGTTACTAGTTTTCATAGGAGTTACCAATTGGTAGAATCCATGTCTTATTTGATTAAAAGGGATATTTTTCCTTGGTGGTATACAGGGTTAAGTCAGAAAGAAATTTATTTAGCTATCATAAGTCATGCACAAACTGAAGAATCATTGAAGATGTTTGGAATATTTGCCTGAATGATCGACACAATGTTGTAAGCGTGGTATCCAGTAGGCAGTAGTTTTATTCAAGGTCATAAATATTCAATGAATTTATTCAAGATTATTTATTCTTGAAAGATAAAACAGGGATAATAAATTTTCCGAATTTTTTACAAGGCATCTTATATATATATATAAAGTTGTAGTGGAAATTATTATTGTGGTTGAATTTTTGTAATTTTTTTTTTAGGGATAATATGATATGAGGCAAGTGGCTAGCTAGAAAAGAAGGTTCTCTTTGAGTGAAAACTAGTCAGGTTTTTTTCTATATAACTTCCTGTGTTTGAAGAGTGAAAATAGAGAGAAAGGGTTTATTGCCCTTTCTTTTTATACCACTTAATACAACGCCACATAGCGGCGTTAGAAAATTCCACTGGATAACAAGAGTGGGTAATCCCGCAGTTACTTTCAGTCCGTAAAGTTAGATACACCGAATACTTTTTTTTAACTGTGTAAAGTGGAAATCATACTGAATATATCATTTCAAGAAACCAAAGTTATATATATTTTTTGTTTGTAGGTTTAATTTTATTTATTTTTATTTTTTTTTTTTTTTTATTTTTATTTTTTTTTTTTTTCATATTTTCGATGATTTTGTCTGGTGACCGGAATCTCAAAACTTCAAAAAATAATTCTATGTCTACATTTGTAGTGGCCACCAAGGAGCCATAAAGTTTGACCTCTCCACGACGTTTATTGTAAGCCTTCACAAAAACATAGTTTGGTGTTATACCAGTGTTTATTGCTGTAGTAAAAATCCAATAAAAGCATGTAGATTTCCTAAAAATCTCGGTACTTGAAACCTTTTGAGAAATCACCCGGGACACTTAAATGTCATCTAAGAGTTAATGACGGTGATGAGTTTTCTAAAGATCTTCTTTTATGTGACTTGACCAATAATGGCTCTCTATGATCGCTTTTCCCTTCGAGCACTAAGCAATATGTGTCCCTTTAATAGAGCTACCTGTTCTAGTCCTGACATATATTTACACTAGCACATTAGCTATTTTTGCACTCTTTTCCTCTCCACATTGCCAATTCAATATGCTCGTTGATAGCCACATCCGCTTTCCTCCTAATATTACTTGAAAATTTCATCTGCCTCTTTACGGCCACATCACATTGAAATCGGTTCTCGTACGATCACCGAAGATAAGCAACTTCGATCCTGGTCAGTACCTAGATGGGTGACATGTTGGGAATGCCAGGTGTCGTCAGCTAGGATAAACGGGTAATGGGTAGGAATTGTTAATCGGAGAGCCGAGTTCCAATTCCAGTCGCGTTCGTTATAGGCAAAAATATCATTGGGAAAATTATGAATCCACTTCTCTCCTCTCAGCTATGGATTAAGTAATTAGTAAGACTTGTGTCACTATACCGTTATCTCCAAAACAATGTCTTACAAGCTAAAATATTTTCTGGCTTTAAATAACATGGAAAGGGTTGATAAGCCGTAGAAAATGAATCAATCAACCTCTTTCTAAACCTCTGCAAAAGTCTTTTTTACTCTCATTTTCCTTAAAACAAATATAGTATTCTCGACATTCTTTATCACTGTTTTCTCAAGTTTCTTTTTCATCTGTGAGGAAACTGTCCCGAATTCATTGCCATACCGAAGGGTTGATATTACATATCTGTTTAGCAAAAATCTTCTGTATCTTAATTGGTTGCTTCGTCTCTGTAAGGCCACTCCATTGTATCATCGAATTTCTCAAAAAAGTTACGATTTAATAAATAGATACTTCAAGTCTACTATCTCTTATAGGAGCCATATATCCATTTCAGGCAATCGACATAAATTAGCTAACCGTCCCTGCCGTATGACGTTTATTCAACCAGTTTCAAGACATCAACGTGTAGAATAGCAAAAAGGAAAGAAATGAAAGCGTTGCGGAGGCCGCTTTTATCAGTGATTTCTCGAAGAAAAAGAATTTGGCTTGGGGAGTGGAAAAGACAAAGAAGAGATTTATCTTGAAACTTTCGGATCTTTTTCTTCCCACCGTACAGAAAATAACTCGTTCGAATGAAATTAAATTTCCGGCGTTCTGCTCTATTTAATTTTTTTTTCTAATCAATTTGAATCATTAAAAACTATAAAACGAGGCGTTGTTAAGATTTCTAATTTCACAGAAGCCGTTAAAATCGGTCAAGCCGTCTTAATTATTATTTTTTTAAAAATAGGTCTTTATTATTTTAAATATTCATTATTATAAATGTAATAATTTGATATTTTTTTCAATTTATTATTTTTATTTTATTTATTTTGTTTTTATGAATATTTTTAAAGTAATGTCCGTCTTTTTAGCAAAGAAAAGTTTTAAAAGATCAGTTTTAATAAGGCATATTTTTGTTTCGTTTTTATGAAAAATATCCAGCCACTCAGTGGAAGTTTAATAAATTTGAAATGGTTGTAAAAGTAAAAAAAAAACAAGTTATTTTGTATTTCTGTCTGAATTTCTGAGATGAGAACTAATCATTATTTACACTATTTATATTCAGGCTGTTGTCATCATGTTTGTTGTTATTGCAACGTCTCAGCCGTTAAGCGCTTCGGCCTTCTTCGGGTGTATAGTGATTCAGATAACTTACAGGGAAAAACTGAAACCTTTATTGATTCCTAGACATGGGCAGTGATACGAGAACAGCACCCCTTCCCCCAGTAAATTAAATAATGGCTTCACTTTGGAACACCCAGTAGGTAACTCAATTTAGTAGACACATGAGGAAGAATGGGGGGCACAATGGGCGAAACGCAGTGATAACAACAAGAACGATAAGGATAACAGTCACGATAAGGATAACAGTCCGAATATAAATACGCTAAATATTTATTTTGTATCATACTAAGTTCTTTCTTTTACTGGCTAGTTTCGAATTTGAACTCGTCATGCCACTTCCACGCCGATGCGCCCAGCTCGCAAACTAATTCAATAGTGTATCGAAATAGACTTTTAATACAAATCTGTCAATTGTCGTTGCGTGTCAGCCCAACGGTGTCTAAAGTTTTCATTATGGGAATTACATCTTAGATTTGGCAAAGAAAGACCTAAAGCCACCTACCCTTGATTTAGTGAACATTAATTTAACTGAGTTCAGAAGTGAATAAATTTATTTTACCTAGGAAAATTTAGTCTTTTATTCTTATCAGATGTTACTAACATAACAATCCGACTCATAACAGATAACATTGTATATTTGGCATAATTCTATGATCCAAAGAAAGACCTCAGTTTTATAAACGATTTGTCTTCCCGATGCATTTTTGCTCATCTGTATTCTGACATTCCAGAAATGTCATGGAGTCCTTTATTTGATTCATTCATATCTTCTGTTTTCATTTTATCTACCCATCATATTGTGTCCTTCCTAATTTATAAGGTTCAATCTTTCATTACTTTGTCTATCTACCTTTATAAATTAATTGATTTGTAGCAGTCACAAAATCCGTATTGCTTTTATCACCTTTTACCTACTCGACATTCCAGTCTTGATTCTGTTTAAATTTCTGAGATGAGATGATATTATTATACATAGGCGGCAGAAATACCTCGCACACAATGGTAAAACATTAGCTAGACATCATTGCCACAAATGTTTTACCATTATGTGAGAGGTATTTCTATCGCACCCTCTACGTAGAATCATTTAAACCTATATTCTCATCTTTGTTGTTTTTTGACAATTTTTTGGCTCCTCAAATCTTCACTCATTGTTACCTGCATTTGGTAACGTCCCCAAAATGTTAGATGGTGCCATTTATTTGATTCGGGGTTCTATGCCGTTCTCATTACGATACCAGTGAATTTTGGACCATATTCCGATGAATTTGCTTAGCTTTTGAAAGACATTTCCCACTGTGCACCTTCAGATCCTCATGTCGGATTTTCCGTCCTGTTAAAACACTTCCTAGATATTAAACATTTTATACTTTCTTGATATTGAAATCTCCAATTTGTAATTTGTATGTTGATCTGTTTCCTTTTCTGACAACAATAAATTGTCTTCTTAAAAATGATATTTAGTCATTTCAGCTCGCTTTCCTTTATTAGATTCTGTAGGACTTTCTGCAGTTCCATTTTTTTGTCTGATATCGTCACAGTGTCACCTGCATATCTAATGTTGGCAAGACTGTAACCGCTACTAATGAAGCCTGGTAGGACTTCTAATTCTCTTAATATTGCTTCAATGTATAGGTTTAATATATCTGGTGAAGACACATCCTTGTATCTTCCCGTTAAATCGAATAATTGAAATCAGTCGAGATGCACAAACTAATGCAATTTGAAATAGAAAAATAACAACAAAAAAAGACGCTATGTGATGTATCCCTTTAGGTCGTTGGCGATAATGGTTGCCCACAATTTCCTATCCTTTGTAGCTCTTAATAAATTTTGTCTTTTTGTTATATCTCCCTAAACATCTTCGGCTATACATTCACTATAACTTGCTAGGTAGGTTATGCGTTGTTTTGCTTTGTCCCTCTTGCTTTCAATCTATCCTGCGTGTATCATATTTTCCAAACCCTCTTTCCTTATATGCCCTAGAATTTTCAAATGTCTCTTACTATTGGTAAGTAGTAAGAGACAGTTGATGTTGAAGAGACAGTATATAAGTGACCTTTTATTTTTCTATTTTTTCTAAAGATTTGGCGCTGTTCACATGTCCATGGAATTCGCAGCATCCTTCTTTAGAAACATATTTCTTTTGCTTCAAGTGTTTTCTTCATCTGTGAGGAAATTATACAGCATTCACTATTGTGTAGCAGAACTAATATTACGTAACAGTTCAGTCCTCTTTTCTAATGAATTATTTCTCTTCCTGATACGAAATACGCAACTATCATAAACACGAGGATGCCACAACTCTTTTATTTTGTTTATATATATATATATATATATATATATAAACATAATCTTAAAAAAGAAATAAAAGACTAAGTCGAAAAAAAGGAGTAAAACACTTTTCTCTAATGTCTGAAATTTGAATTATTTGTTTGTTGGCTTGTTTCTTCTTTGTTAGTTACTTTTCGTGTTTTTGCTGTTTTTTTTTTTTCTCGCAAAAGCGAAATTGAATTAATTTTGGTTAACCAACTTTTTCGCTTTATCAAAAAACAATTTTCTCATCGGTTTGACAGTCGAAATATTGATCAGAAGATCGATTCTGTGTGCAAGTAGCTATTAATCTCAAATGCAATCGATTCCGAAAAACAAGAATAATGCTTGTTTCACACACTCAGTGACATTTCAAAACAAAGCGAAAACAGATTCAACCCACCCCCGCATGGTCACAGTTAAGTAACAGAGAATAATATTGAATAGCGAGGTCAGAATTCTGGAACATCTGTACGTATTCAGTTTACCTTCTTTTTTCTGTTTCGTGTAGTAGGCGATAGTGACTCTCCACGGCTTCCTATATTTTGTAGCTCTTAGCAATATTGGTGTTTTCTCTATAACTCCTCTCCCTGTTCTGCCATCCATTTACAAAAGAAAAGTTGATTAGTTCATTGCTGCATTCTCCTGTCCCCCGTGTCATCAATATGTCCGGTGTCATAATATTCAAGTTTCCTTTCTTCGTTATGTGTCCCTGAAATTTCAATTATCTCTTTCAGATTCTACGTATAAGTGACCTTTGTTTCAATTTAACTTAAAACTTCCTCGTTGTGTTTCATGTTCCAAACATCGGATTCGAGACATTCATCTCTATTACCATATCTCTGTTGCCTCAAGTTTTCAATTCATATTTGAGCATTTGTCTACCTACAGCGACAAAACACAACATAACTATAAAATTGAAATAGTAATTCTATTATAGCTCTAGACTTTGCTGCAGACATCAGATTGTATTACTAAGTCTTTTTTCTCTTAATGAAGTAGAAAGTGTTCTTTTGATGAATAGATCTCCTGTTTCCAGGAAAACTTTAATTTTGAGCACGAAGTATGAATGCAAGTATTATACTTCTATTTTTCTATGTTAAATTTCCACATGTGTAATATATTGGGCTACGACATGTGATTATACCGATAGGAACCGTCAATATTATGAAAAGGGCATAAGATCAACGAGGAAAATTTTATGAAAATCAAACTAAATCCACAGAATGAATCAACGACGGACACATTTTTCACTCTCTTTATATTATTAGTAGTAGTAATTGCATCATTTCTTGGAAGAACCTACAAAAAGGAGATAGACTAAACAATATGAGGTTGGCAATGGAC